TATGCACAATAAGTTATTTATTTTACTTCCTCGACTTAAATCTTCAATTTTTTTTAACGATATTGTGAACATTATCTCAGCAATTCTAAAATTGTCTTAATTTCTTTAGCGCGTAGATCTCTCAATAAATTTGTCATCGATCTTTTCTTGATAAATAAAAATTTAATATTACATTCTATTTTTTCACAACTTTTAATTATCTTTACAAGAACGAGGTTTTATATATATGGCAATTCATTTAAACAAGTTCTGCAATTTCTTTTGTGAAATGTAAAATTATAATATTTATGCGTAGAAGTTTGTTATATTAATATCAAAAGCTTATAAGTAATGTAAAGTATAAAACTTGTATAAAGCTCATAAGTTGTGTAAAAGCTGAAGGGGAATCGGCGGTTTATAAAATTATTATTGAAGAAAAGATCTGTACACGAAACGGAGACGGGCGTAATGTGAGGAATCTAAGGTCAGAGTCGGTCTGTGCAGACTGCAGAATGACTATCGACATTTCTTTTCTTCAATTTACTGTTGTCTGCCAGGCGTAAACCAACGAGTGACCCATTTTCGAAGGAAACACCCGTAAAATAATTTCGCGAGCGCTACATCTACGGACGCTATCTATACCTACGTAGAAACAGCGCACTCCTCGAAAAATTTCGAATGTAGTTTGAGGAAGTATCTCTAGAGTTATTCCCGATTTGTTGTCGACATATCAATAGTACAACAGAATAGCTGGACCTTTCTGTACAATCCGCTCGAAACTGGTCAAACTTTCAACCAAAGGTGGGAGGCTCGGTTGTACATTTCTCGCTTCCTTCCTTTATCCTTTGCCGAACGAAACAGAAGCAGAAGTGGATAGTTACATTCCTGGTTGCGATCGGAATCCATGACCTCGATATATCGTGGTAAGATCGATCGCTGAACGGCCCCCTTACGTTTGCGCTTTGCTTTATACCACATGTCGCCAACTTTCATGAGTTGCCCTCCATTATCTTGGAAGTGACCAGTGCTGTTGGAAAGCAACATTAAAACAACTGGATCGCGAATACCATGTGAATTAAATGTCTATATTTACTTATACTTGCGCACGCTATATTTAAATTTAAGTGTAAATAACGAAGTGCACAGCGGATATATTATTTTATTTCCATCACGTCATACAATTATCAGAAATTTTGAGGGATAAACACGTTTCTACCTAACTGAAGACTAATTTTGCTCGTGAGTTGGTCTTGTTTGCTTATATACAAGTGTCATTTTAATTTATTCGTACAATTTCTTAATTTTTTAACATAAGAAAAGAATTTAATCCTTGTTGGTCGCACTTGCTGAGAATCGCGTATCGGTCACACAGTGGTCCAATTGACCCTACCGACTTTTAAACGTTGCCGTGTTTATTATACACGACTCGTCCAGTTTGAATAAAAGAAATAACAAGGGGAAATAGAAAATTTACCCTTTTTATGAAAATTTTTATTAACTAGGGTCAAGGTTAATTTTCAATTTAGAACGTACAGACATGAAGCCTTAAACTTTTACGTCGGGGTCTTTTGGACCCCGCAGTGACCAACAAGGGTCAAATGAAATTTAAGGGTAACTTAACTGTAAAAGAAATTTATTTGCTATTGGTTCATGTCAGACTATTCAGATAATTTATGCCAATACTAAAATGCATTATATTCTTTTTTTTACGTTTGATAACTACAGCTTTGGTACTGTAGCTTACACATATCGAATTTTCTGTGTATTCAGTTATAGATATATAGATCGAACAGTGTGTACTTTGACATGGATTGGATCACACGTCGGATTAGAAAAGTTTTTGCACGGTCGCATTTCGATTTTTTGCAATACGAGAAAGTTGTTTAATTAAATTCTAGCTCGGTTATCCGAACGCGATGTTATTTTCTGTAGCACGCCACGCTAGACGAGATTTTCGGTTACTTTTTCCGACGGCTAATCTTCTTAGGTAGAATCCGGGGCGCGAGCGTGAAAGAGGCTTACGCGACAAAGTGCGCAGGGACGAAGAAAGTAGAAATGAAAGAAAGAGAAAGCCGGCAACCTAAATTAAGAATTTAAATATCTCTACGCAACCCTGTCACATGCAGAGTTCGTGACACGAAAAACACGAGATACTAAGATAGGTATAGTATTTTAATCAGTCATCAAGAATTTCAAGCATAAATCTAATTAACGTTATTTTTTATCTCTGCATGGAGATTTTTCATTGTTTGATGTCTTATCATAGATTAAAATATTTTAACTGTCTTATTCCTGTTTGGAATTGTATAAAAAGGATAAAAATTTCGAATTACGGCTTTAATTGCTCAACTAGATCACTTTAATAATTGGATTAAGTTTGAAAATAAGCCTCAATCGGATTTGAGAGCAAACGCTTCCCTTGCCGCTTTGTAGAATATGTATCTTAAAATGCTTTCTAAATGAACGGCTTTTCTCTAAGTAATGAAATTTGGAGAAACTGTAATTAAGCTATGAAATATCACCACGACTACCTAACTACCCTTACAGCATTAAATCAACCAGATCCAGCTTTCAGCGGTACTATACATATAGCTTAATTGTGCTAACTAAGGTTCGTATTCATATCATAAATTCAATGCTAGATTTCATTTCGCGCGAGATAACGTTATATGCGATCTTCATAGGAAATAAATATAATCGCAGATGTGACTAGATTTTGCTGTAAATTTACGATATAAATAAGGATCTAAAAATTGCCAGATTATCTTCTTCATTACGTTCGCCACATTTCAGTTAACGCACATTTTTCTATACAAATTCTATACAAATTAGGCTTACGAACTTGCAACCGTTACATTTAGGATCAATTTTTCACTCATTTCTTCTAGTTAATATTATCAATTTTATTATCGCGGCTGTGATAAAAGCTCATTATCAGTGAAGCTCGGACGTTCCGCAAATTATTACAGATATTGATAAATCGAATTATGTTGTTAGCAAAAATCTATATTTCTGCATTTATTGTCCCATGAACGTTCCACTTTGTATTACCAACTATGAGCTTGGCTGTATTATAATTACAAAACATTTTCCCCAACTTTTTACAATATAAATCTTATTTTACATTACGTATAAATCTTTATTGTAATTCTGAGAAGAACGGTTAATGGAAGACAAAAATGAATAGGTTTTTATTTGTGTTTAAAAAGCAACTGTCCGAACCGACAGATCTCGCTTTTGAAAACTGAAGAAAACAAAAACACAAAAGAAATTAATACACGAATCAACGAGGAACTCTTGTGCAATAGTCGACGCGTCTGAAAGTCTTCTTGTTAACAGACGCAAGATGAGCGCAGTGAGGCGAACGACGGGGCGCGACGTTTCGAAAAGGACGAGGGAACTGCACGTCGTTGACGTAAACACACGGACAAGCGACGCTGTTTTTCCGGGCTCACGGGAACTACGAGATAACGATCGGTCGCAGATTCTCGCTATTCGTCCATCGGCGGGTTTCGTTGAACACGATGTCTCCCGGTTGCTTACGATCCCCGGCTTGATCCTCGCGAAGCAAATAATTGACTTCTTGGCCGGGTTTCCCGGCGCCGGAGAAAAGCCATTACCGGAACGATTCGATTTCCATGGACCGATAAGTTGATATCGATCTGCGGCCCGTCTACCGGCGCGTCTCCCGTCGATATCTTTCCGGATTAACACGATTGAATCCCATCGCGGTTCCTTATGGAACTCAAGTTGACGTTGTAATACGAGAGCCTGTTCTTTCGTCGGTCTTCTTGTTACGATTGAGTTAAGTCGAGCACCGACCAAGTCGAGTACTGGCTTAAGTCTTATCGATTGTTTGAAAAAGTAAGAACAATTGTTATAGGAACAATTGTTACGGTATCTCATGTCTGCACCGGAAAATCAAGCAAAGAGTACAATGCGCTCTCTAATTATAACGTGATAACTTTATACGCGTGAGAAAGGAGTTTCTGTTCATTATAGCGAAAAGAAATTTTATAGGTAGAATAATGGTGAAGAATTAATTGTTATCCTCTCAAATCTTTCATTAATTTTTATATTACAAAAATATGTAATATACTGAATTAGCATGAGGAAACTTAAACAACGTTTAGATGATAATCATTAACTGTCTCTTCTCTCTGTCTCAAACTTCTGCATACTAATTATGCTACACAAACGATAGACTTTGTTCATTAAACAACTCATTATTTTATTTAGCAACGTTTATTTAATATTTGTTGAATTGTTAATAGTAAAAGAAACTTTATTCGCAATATTTATAATAGTATGAATCAATATCTTCCGCGCACTTGTCAGTAGTACAAGTCGTTGGTCTTTCCAACATTTTCAGTAGAATAAATTGACTAAGAGAGAAACGCACTGTAAGTAGTACAAATCAATTCCTACAATTCGGTCCCGTGGGTATACAATAAATTCAGCACTATGAGTTAAGTATAAGAAATCCTTAAATTTATAGATAAGATAGATATTTTCTTTGCTGTTAAATTAAAGCATAAGTCAATGATTTATCGAAATCAAACTTTTATTAGTAACAGTATGCATACTGTATTAATTTAGATGGAGACAGAAACGTTGAATGTTTATACAGCTACAACAAATATTTGTGCAAGTCCAATAGTAACTTGCACTTAAATATTGCATACATTATTATTGATAAATTATAAGATATTACTTATTTTTTAACTATATAAATATTTTATATCCACGTATTAAAAGAAAATTAACAATAGAAATATAGAAAACTATAACAGTTTTCAACTACAGTTTTTACACTACATTTTCCAGAAATTTAAATTGTATTTCAAACATAATAATAGGGAGGGAAATATGGATCAATATCTTATTAGTAATGGCGTAGTAGATTTACTGATTGCAGGGGTCATAGAGGATCCTATTGTACATGTAGTGAGTTAATAGTAGCTGAGCTCATCATTGCTCATAATTCATCTATCCTTATCACTCGGTTTATCTTGTTTCAGGAAGCTGCTTCAGGCAACAGTAAGGGCCAATCGCACGGGCCATTTCATGTGGGTGGGCAGCGATTCGTGGGGCGCCAAAGTTCATCCCGTCCGGGATCAGGAGTTCGCGGCCGAAGGTGCTATCACCATTCTGCCCTATAGGAACGCCCTCAAAGGTAAAAGACCTTTGTTACGCTCTTGCGATCCTATCATAACCGGCTTAATTGGAGGAATATTTACTCTGAATGCACCTTTGATCAATGAACAATAAATTGAACAATAAAATCACTATTTTTTTGCGAAAAATAAAATGTTGATAGCGTGAAATACATTTTTATATTGGAGGAATAACGTAACACTAATATATTATAAGAATATAACATTAGTAATATGTAATGTTATAAGAATAGAATACTGTATTCTAAGGATCATACAGTTTTAATGGTAGAACACATTAATTTAACTAAAGTGCTAAATTATTTAATTAACGTGACTTGTATATTTGTTTCAATTATTTAAATCATTTAATTTTGTTGGCTCTTTTAGTTCTTAACGCGTCTGATACGCTTTACTGAGCCACAATTGAAATTCCTTGTTACCGTAGAGTTGCTCACTGTGCAACTTTGTTGCCACGGTAGCGGTATCGTTTTAACTTCGACTTGACGTTCATTAATCTCACATGACAAGCGAGTAATATTTTCCGCTTCCGATTATGTCGCATCATTCTCGACTCGCGGGTTAGCTTCGCAGATCGAAGAAATGACGGGCGGCACTTCCGTTTCACGCCCAGTAATTAACACAGGAGTGTCGAACCCTCGTTAGTCGAACCAAATTACTAGAAATTACGGCCTACGAAGTACCAAAAAAGACGGAAGCCATCATTCATTAATTCTATAAACTGACTGAAATTCCGAAAGTCTGAAGGATGTGAGATATAATAGATAATTTTCCCGATTGCTTGAATTATCAACAGACTATAATTTTCCGAAATAATGTAAACTTTTACAAACGATATCGTATCGTTCCTTAAATCTGCTTTTAATATACCATGTTAGGCAAAACGACAATTACGACATAACTTAATAGTAACATGACAATTTACAGATTATTTTCAGAAATACATTTTCGGGAAATAATTTTGTTATATATACATGTTTGATTAAATTTGTCTCTTTCTCATAAGCCTCGGTATATAAACATTTCAATATTCTCAGAAATAATAGTGTAGATCATTTTTAAAAAGTATTTTAAAAAGTATAATCAACTAATGAGAACATTCTTAAAAGTCGCCAGCAGTAATTAACAACATCAGTGATTTTGATTGACCGTATCTGGCAATTTTAATAATACAGAAAATTTATTGCGAAAAACATTACCTTAGCCAAAGTTTGAACCTGGACCTCTCTACACTCTAGGCGGGCGTCTCACCAATTCGACCACCAAGGCATATGATAATATTTGTCCCAATAACAGTATAGATGTTGTCTACGCGTATATTTTCGGCTTTTGTGAACTGCCCACCGATACGGATTGTCGATTGTACACAATATTGTTGAAGTTTAAGATTATTAAATTCTTGTAAGAAGATTATAGAACTGTTGCGTATATAAGAAAGATATATTTCAATAAAGTCAGCTCGCTGGAATAATATGTTCTGATTTCAATTCTATCGGGACTGAGAGGCGCAAGAAGTTTCTCTGACAAAAAGCATGATACATCGAAGCCATCAAATCTTATCGAATGATTCGATTGTAACGTACGGTTCAATTCTGATACTGTAGAATTCGACAAGTACTATATGAGCTTACGGCCAAGAATGGGCGACGAGTGCGGTGGGCAGACAGAGAACAATATTCCCCATAAGTTCTTGAAGGGGAAGATGGTAAACTGCCGGAATATCTGGTTTCGAGAGTTCTGGTCGCAGCATCACAAGTGCACTTTCAGCGTGAACGCGTCGAGCGGCGTGACGCGCTGCACTGGCGAAGAAGACCTCGTCGATTACGAAGAGGAGGGTCTGGTGCCTTTTGTCGGTAACGTATAGATTTATATTCTATCGTTATATTGATACTTTTCTCCAAACGCCTATTTCACTTTTATGTCGCACAAAAGGAAACGTGTATAACGCAGTCGAGTTGCATCGGTATATCGCCCGAACAATATATAAACAATGTATAGCAATATATATAAAAGTTTTAGCTTAGGGATATATAAAAATAAGGTCAATATTAAAAACGGCTTTTCAGCATTTTTATCTCTCCGTTCCGAATCTCGAAATTCAATACTCGGCTGATCTGATAAAGCTTCTAATTAAATTTTTGTGAAAAAGACTATCCATTTTGAGAGAATTGGCAATTAACTGTTTACCAGTTGAAAGCTATTAATTTGGATGGGAAAATCAATCTGACTTTTCATTCATTGTTAAATGTCCTGATAAATAAATTACCACATCAGTTATAATTTCACCGTAATGAATACAAAAAAATAACGTATGGACGGACTCTTCCTATTCATGCCATGACAGTTAATTAATTGCGGAAAGTGCGAATCGCGCGCGCGCTGAACAGATAGGGGACACTTCACGATCGTTTATATCCTGAAGTGCGGAGGAAATGATCGGTGCGAAAGAAAGAGAAGCAAAACGAGCGGAAAGATAGTTATCGGCGAAAAGAAGAGTGAAAGGGAGAAGAAGTAGTCTCGGCAACTCTCCAACTTTTCGTCACCCTTCAACCATTTTTCTAGCCCGAAAACAGAAACGGGAAAAACTTGTCGCCACCGTTCGACCGTAATTCCGACAATACATAACGAGGCTTACGTCATGCAGTAAGATAACAGTACACCTCGAACGACTATTTACCGCACGATTTCCTTTTGCCCGTAGCCGATCTCGTATTTTATTTTCGCAAATTATCCAGTCCATTTTCCGCCGTGCGTAGTCGACGAACATGATCCAGTTAACATGTCCGCATTTCCTTATTCGTGAATCGTAAGAGAATTTGTAAAATGTATTACAATATAATATTCAAAAAGCAATTACATACAGGATAAAGGCACCTAATATCGCCCAAAACGTAATATCGCCACTCGTGATATCTCGTGAACAAAGTGCTGATATCAATCGGCAATACATAGAATTAGTAGCTAAACATGTGTAAGAAGACATAGTGTAGTTACAACGTTATAGAAATAACGTCTGACTCAGGAGTCGCATTGAAAGAAATTTGGAATGCAGAAAAATTTAGCAGACGGTGCAAGTTCGACATTCCACGGTGAGAACATAGTATAACTAGCGGGTCCATTCTCTGTCGGCCCCTTTGATCTTTGCGGTCCCGATCACGTGATATTCCGCCATGCACTCGGGCAGGATCCAGCGATGTGTGCGTGTGTACTCATCAAAGTCACACTACCACACATACAACTTTTCTCTCATTGGTCTGCCCAGAAGGGATCGACGCAAAACGAAACAAATGACGGAGTGGACCTACTAGTTATACTATGGTGAGAATGTAAGTTCAAACATTCTTTTAACGATATATATAAAATAGTGATATACTTTACTATTTTTCGCTGACTTCAACATGTACGTGTTGCGATGTTTTTAGTGTCTAGATTAGGAGTCACTCAATATCGCCCACCATATTATTACGGAGGCGTCAATAATATGCGCGTAGGCGACATTATGTGCATGCATTTTTAAGAATGAACAAGAGTATAAAAAGAGCACAAATTGACACGATGTATAAATATTTCGAAATAGTGTGTTATATACGTATAATAAAAATATTTTTTAAACATAATCGCAAATTTAGGATACGTTTATACGATGTGAAGTAATAAATATCTATAGCTTCACAAGTTCATACATATTGATAAACATGATTTTCTAAAAATTTATAAGGCGATATAAGGTGCCATTTTTTCAAATCCCCGATTTTGTCGTTTTTTTTTCTTTTCAATGTGGATTAAAACTTTTTAGATTTTAATCATTCTAATCTATTGTTCATGAAACACAAATGTTTCCTCTTTCATGTGAGGCTAAATACAGAGAACAATGTCAATTACTTTGTAGACGATATTAGGTGCCTTTATCCTATAGTACATACTTTTATTTCACTCTACATTATATAAAAATTTAGACGTATACAAGATAAATAATAATATACCATTTGTTTGTTTTTAAATTATTTTAATCAATAATTAGCGCACATATATATCTTCATTCATTTTAAATATTTTTATTCAAAAATTACGAATTTATGCCAGATTTAAGGATACGTTTCACGCATAAGTAAATCTAATTAACAAATTTAAGACAAGCACGAAGAGGTAGAATTCTGAAGAGACACATAAATTTCACACAATTAATCCCAGGTCGCTGTCATCTGTCCGTAAGCATTCGCCGGTGTACGCAATTAACTACAGTTGACTATATTCCGTGACCCATTAGATTGCGTACCTTTCGACGGACGAGATCGAATAAACTTTTGCGACAAACTTCCGCGGGGCAAAGCCGCGACAAATGGAAAGGAAGGAAACGGCGGCGAACCGAGCGAAGCAATTTTCCCCGGCTATGGTTTTTGCGTTAACAAACACGTCCGGTGACGCGTGAAAAGTTGCACGAAATCAACCGTCACGTTTCCCTGGATTCCGCTTATGCTCTTTCCCTTCCTCTTTCCTTTCTTATGTTCCATCCTCCCGTGAAATAAATGACGGGGTCTCGTCGAGCGCGAAGCGATCGAAAACTCTTCACGATCGAGTGCATCCCGATAATAGATAAATCTTGTAAATCATCTTATTAGGTACCGCGAGACGTCTTTCTCACAAGCAACAATATTCAGCGCTTAACATTTATTTCATCCGTGAATAAATAAATAATAGTAGCGTTCGCCATCACATAATATGAAATCCTCGAGATGGATCAAATAAGACCTACCTGATTGTGTGAATGGTCTCGTATATAAAGTTGATAAAGACTCAAACCTCTCATAACTTATCACGACGAATAAATAAGATTGTAGAGGCAATATATGTTATATGCATATAAATATTTTATTTAATATCTAGAAAAATAATTTCTGTAATTCTCTTTTTCAAGAATCTCTAAGATAAAACGAGAAATCCCTTATTTTTCCGTGCTAAGTTTCTTTTTTATGCTTTGTAACGTACTCGCAGATTTTTTCAACACTCTTGGATTATTTACAAGAGTACATTTCCTCCCTTAGAAACGGAAATATTTAATTAATTTATGATACAAGATACCTATTAATTTCGGAAGCTTTTAACAGGTAGATAATATGCGTATATTAGAGCACTGCTGAAAACGATATTTTCATATTATTTGCAGTGGATGCAGTTTACGCCATGGCACACGGTGTTCATAATGTTATCGAGGAGGAATGCGTAAATAATTTGGGCACGTCGCATTATCTTTGCGAGTCGCTTGTACCAGCACCGGACGGTCCACTTCTCCTCCGATACATTCGCAATGTCAGTTTCGTCGGTGAGTTACGCAAAGTTCTTCAAAAGTAATGTTTAATTCAACTTTCAAGCAAAATTTTTCAGCCGCACGATATGAATATACATATAATTTTACTTGAAAGTTACATCTCTTATTTATTATATAATAATACACAACACTTACGGATTTAAAGTAACCGAGTGCCGTAGGAATATTTTGCGCGTTTGCATAACACGAGGCGGCCATTGATTAATTGGTCAAATACTTGTTACACGTTTTCCATATGTCGTATGTGGGAAAAAAAAGACCGTTAAATTGAGAGGCTCGGGACAAATTGATCAATTATATCCGCGAGAATTCCGCGTACGCCGAGCAACTGCGTCACCCCACGTGAAGCGATCTATCAGATGACGTCAGAGCGTGGCAATCTCGACGCCTCATCGATATTGCAATTAAAACACTTTCCCCGATTTAACGGGGAACGTAACACTTTCACGTCGGTGGACTCTCCGTGGCACAATTAAGACTGCCCCTCGTTACGGCGCACTATCAAATGGCAATGCAATTATCCTAACCGGCCGTCCCCCGATCGCGTATCAGCCGAGATTTATCGCGAACGTTATGCAATAACGTTCAAACTTACTTTCCTTCCTTCCCCGGCTTTTCCAATAATTTCATAATACCGCCAACTCATCTTTCAATCCCGCGCTCTCACGCCTTTGTCCGCTTTTAATCCCCGAGGCATTTCTGCGCTATCGGGATGTTAGTTCGTATCAGAATATCTTATCTCAAATAGCTCCCGTTTATCAATATTAGCAGTACAAATGGAGGATTATCTTTAAGGTAAACTGCAGAATACCCGAAACCCATATACATCCGGTACTAAATGTTTATTCTTCGCTTAATCCACGTCCCAATACTTTTTTGCGCAAAGCTTTAATTCGACTTGTACAAATGCCAGATTATTCGAGTGAAATAAGGAGTTAGCTAAGTTGCACTCAACAAATACGTACAGCCAGGAAAAATCTTCCCTTTCAATTATTCAGTTGCGAGCTTCAATTTTTACTTCGAAATTGTATTCAGTCAAAATTTTATTCTAATTGCTCCACTATTAAAAACCAAAACAATTGCAATTCAATTTTTACATTCTATGTAAATCTCACGTTTTCTAGCGCTAAATTTTTAGGGCAATTCATGCAGATAATGTACACATGTATATATGTATATAAAATATATATATGCAGACATTTATTTACCCATACCGTAAACATTTTCTAATTTTGTCCAACAAGTTTTTTAATATACACAGAACAGTATTTCTCAATCCTTTAAAGCGATCTAATTTCATTTGTTTATACTATTGGAAAACTAATCTGCGGACTGAGCACAATAAAAATATCAATTATCGAAGAATAGAATTAGCTGAAACGATTCCGGTCGATAGTACTTAATTATTTGTTTTACTGTGCGGTATGCGATGTGCATGCAAGTCCAACGTGCATCAAATGCCACGCATAGCCGCAAATAGAGACAATGAACTCTGTATTTACGTTTGTGGATTGTTTTCAATAATTGAGTTTCGCGAAAGGAAACTTTATAGCTGCTGCTGTAAGCTCTGAAAAGAGTTTGGTTTAAACTTCAACGTTATCTGGTTCTCTCTCTCTCTCTCTCTTCCCCCCCCCCCTCTCCTCGCTTCTCTCTCATTCCATGCCCCCAGTTTAACGTTTGGAAGGAAAAGGCTATGCATTCCAAATGCTCTCATTTCTATCCGTAACATTTTCGCAGATAAACTGACAATAAAGCCGACCGCGGACTGAAACGAGAACGAAAAATTCCATTCGATATCTTTTTATCTCGTCGTTCTTTCTTTCGGCCCTTGATCATATACTTTACTCATAATACTTTATTTTACTATTAAGAATACTCTTTAAAAGTCGCCAGCAGTAATTAACAATATCAATGATTTTTATTGACCGTATCTGGCAATTAAAATTCTTATTACGAAAAATATTACCCCAACCAGGATTCGAACCTGGGACCTCCCACAATCCGTGCGGGCGTCTTAACCAGCTCGACCACTGGGGCTGTAGGTAATATTGTTCGCAATAACATATATTAGTTAAGATGTTGTTTACGCGTTTATTTCGACTTTTCGGAACAGTGCGTCGATACGGGTTGTCGACCATACACTGAACTGTCGAAACGCGATTTTTTTAAATTCCCTTTCCCCTGCCCTCCCCCCGATCCTTTACTTTATTTTACGTTTTTGATCTATTATATTACAGATAAGTAATATTTTTATAGGGATAAACGAGGAGAAAACAAATTTTCCACGGGTAGGCTGAACAAAAAGACCTGCCAGTATTATAACTTCTCTCTCTCTGAAAATAGATCCTCGCTTGTTTAAGGATGCTCAGAAATGCGATGAAAAGCAACGATTATTTAGAGTTTAGACAATGTGAAATGTACAAGTGGGATGGAACGGATGATTCGCTGAGCGCGAATGACAGCTTCAAAAATGAGAATTTTTTCAAACAAAGGCGCGCATCTGTCCCGGCGCGAACAGCTCGTCGTCGCATGGGTCGTTTGATGTTCAATTGCGATTCACATTACGAATCTCCGCATAACGCGTTTACTGACGATAACCCGCGCCAGACGAAACATAATTTCGCACAGCCGATACGCTGGCTTCGCTGCAACGATAACGATATCTTGGTACAAACGCTGCGAACTTGTTTGACCGTTTTGCCGACTAGCAGCACAAATCTGGCGCGCTCACGCGCGCGGAATAACAATGTACACGTATTTTCCTTTGTCAAACTTATTTACTATTCCTGACAATCCTGCACCTGTTTGCACCCCCATTATATTCACGTTCATATACCCTGATGCTACGAGAAACGAATGAACTTGCGGGCGAATTTCATTGTGCTAAACGCGCCTCGTAGCTTTTATTGCTGCAGCTCTCTCTTTGTTGGAGAAAATTGCAATAATAACTTAATGGACTAGCGAGAAGGATCCTCTCTCATGCGCTCCCATTAGCTCTGATGAAACGGCTAATAGGCTCATCGAATAAACAGGAATGATTGTGAGATGTTCCGTTTGCGCTGATATATACAACATTTATATCCGTACTTTTTATTATTCTTGTAAATTTCGTATTTTAAGTTGAAACGTATAATTCTTGAGAGTTTATGCAAATTGTATTTATTAATCGTACCATTTTTGGTCATGATTACGCATCTCCAAATCGTTATTAAAACAATTTAGTTAAAAACAGAGCTGCTAAAGTCGTCTCTTTGTTTTATAATCTTGTTTTCTTCTTATACTCCATTGTACTTTAATTTTAAATTCACTATCTTCGTTTTTATCGCGATAAAAAGTAAACGGAGGCCTTAAAGTAAGAAATTTAATTCGGCCCAAAAACATTAGAATTTCCAGGCTCGCACAGCGCTGACGATGATGGCGAGAAAATATATTGCTACATTATTGCCGTGGCTTTCATAATTTTTTCTTTGCGGCTTACCACAATAACTGTACTCTTGCTTCGCAATTTTTTACCCTCATAGTCGCTCATAATTTTCTTCGAGACCCACCCTCGCGTACGAAATCTCCCTTTTCTGTTCGACAGCGCCTGTACAACCTACTTTTTCTCAGGAGCTTTTTTTATTCTCCACCTATTTTCCCCATTGGCGGTCTTGGAAATAACACTTTGTATACATCCTGTATACCCGCCGATCTATGTTGCCGATGCTGGCGTTGAATTGTTACGACGAGGGTGGAGAGATAAACCGCGGAAAAAAGGGGATAGACCCTAACAAGAACGAAAAGAAGCTGCAAGCTGGTCCTTCTTTTGGCTGGTCGTGTTCTATAAATAAACCGTAATCCACGCGTGAAATGGCTGGCATAAATTCCGCTGATGGAACGTCCAAACTCGCTTCGATCTCGCGCCGACAAACGGAGTTTGCTTATCTCTGATCCTTTGCACCGTATTATCTACAAATCTCCATATTTTTCCAATTTCTTTAATTTATGTCCATCACTTGTCATATCATTAATTATAAGTTATTTTGAATTTATTTCGTAGATACTCAAACTTAAGTCTTCTTTCGCTTCTTTCTTAATTTCAGTTTGTCATTACTTTTTGTCAGACGTCATTGCTATCTCTGTTAACAGAGTATTATTTCTACGGTATTTTTGTTATATCCGTATAATGCTCCGGATTATGTAACCGAAACGGTAACATTAATTAAATGACGTACGTAACAAATCTCTGAAAGTTTATCCCTAGAAGCATGGTTAAATCCTATATTCTACCGCCGCACAACATTTGTGTAGATTGCAAAGCTAACACAAGATCCTATTTTGTTTTAGGTCGCCAAAATATCGAGATTAAGTTTAACACCGACGGGGACGCCTACGGATTTTATAACATCTATCAATATCAAAGGAAGGACGAGGGTCGCTTCGATTACACCCTCATCGGCACGTGGAAGGAAGAGTAAGTAGGGACCTCCGATTCAAATGGGATCTAGACTTTGCTATTTGTCGTACGGGTTGCACACACGTACACACACATACGCACACGCTGTCTCACACACGTATTAATCTTTAACTCTCTTATATTTCACGCAGCATACTATTGTAATTAAAAAATTGATGCGACTATCAGTCCCGCGTGTTTCCAAGGATTCAAACAACATACTTTGAGGCAAATTGAAATCCAATTAACTTTCTGTTAAGCGATTCATGACTGTTATAATAACGATAAAAAAATATCTCGCATTTATATTTGCGTTGAAATATTTTTGCGGTATTTATTTTACCGAAGCCTAGATATATGTGCATACACAATAGTGACTTGTATTATTTATTGATCAACTAAAAGACTATATGTATATTTATATTGCCTTTGACGTATATTGCGTTTTCACGTTGATAATTCGTAGCTAGTGTGTCATAGTCTTATAAAATATAAAAAATATAAAAGGTAGTAAAAGTTATATAAAAATATGTGAGACTAAATTGAAATGCTCAATTTACAGTTTAATGTCTCTTTACGGAATTTCTCCAGTAAAAATTAGCTTTGTCCGTATAATATTTCTCTTCGACAGTACCTTCAGCGTAACAATTCACTGGTGAAATCACTGTGGCGTTCGGATTGCTAATTAAAGGTTAATTTACTCCCTCAGGCTCTCTCTGGACATCAATATGACACGATGGGCGACCGGAGTCGGCGAGCTTCACATTCCACGTAGTATGTGCAGCGATAACTGCCCGATGGGACACGTCCGCAATTTTGTAGTAAGTGCACACTGTAAAGTCTGAGGATAACCAGAACCGCTGAGTGCTATGCGGTTCTATTAGCTGATAGTATGTCTAAAAGATCTATCGATCTATCGAATAATGTGCGAGAACAAGAGATCATAGTGAGTAATAGCGAGTATCAAATGCGAATATTAAACGGGATAATGGACGAGCATGAAATAGTAAATTGGCATTAAAAAGAAATACATATTAACATAGTGTTAATATGTCACTTTATTTCTATACGATTTACTATGATGTCCATAGCGGAGCTTTCGAGTAAGGCGCTTACCAAGTGTAGTAGGTAAACCATTAACCGAAGATTAGCGGTTAAATGGGAATTGGTACTGTAATATTAACTAATAATTAGCCAACAGCTCATTCGAGTAACGCTTGCTAATTCCCGTTGTATTTGGATCTATTACAATTGCTGCGCCAAAGTTCGTTTACAGTTTATCTCTAACTTCATTAACTCAAGTCGGAGGGGGAAGGAAATTACTTTAGAATTAATACAAATTCTGAAACCGTTATTCTAATTCCGTAACAATTTATTGATGCATCTAAATTAATAAATTATTTAATAATCCCCTCTGTTCTCTCTGTCATTTTACATTAAAGCTGAGGTAATTTATAATTTATGTTGCAAGAGCGAACAATGTAAAATACATTGAAGATAAAATATGAACTTATTAATTGAATTTACTTTAATATAACGGAGCTAATGAAATTGTGATGCTCTAGCGATAATTCAGCTTATCTTGCACGATTTGTATAATTAAATTCTGACGCACATTTTGATTACAATCCCACGGAGGAGGACAATTTCTACAGATTCTCGTGATATGCGAGTTACGTCTAATAAAGTGAACGCGGGCTATTTTCTACCTCATGCCTCTCTCCTCTCTTCTGTTCTCACTTCCTGTCCTCGACGGCCAGAATTTCATGCAAGTTAAAGTAGATCTGTAATTGTGTCCCAATCCCGAGTTTAACCCTAGATGCGAGCATTCACGTATTCCCGACGTTTTTCGCGAATTTCTCTTCGAACGTAAGCACATAGATAATGCAGTAGTAATTAAATCGCGCCATGACTTTCGTGTATTTGTTTTTTACTCAACGGGATATCCGACCTGTTTTTCGCACAACTTCACGGCTTTAGATTAAAAATTTACATAAAGTTCCAATTCCCGATTGTTCCATACCTAAGGGTATTTCAGAAAGGAACAAATGTATTACGAGTACAGCCTCGGCCAAAAGTATTTGGCCAACCCTTCAATTGTTACAAATGTAATTTCTTTTGACTCTAACCAGCTATTTTGCATATTGTTACGTATCGGCACGCTAAACTGAATAATCTAAACAAAGCATCACATCATAAACACGTAAGGACAAGTCGCGAAACGTTTACAGTAGTAAACTTGAATTTTGCTTGCAAGTATTTAGTTTACTGCGGACGCTTGAAGTGTGCACGTTGCTTAATAATCCCCAACTTATAGTGGCTTACTCTAAAGAATAATATAATTCTTTTAGCAAATGCAGAATACATTTATGGATATTTACTATAGCATTACATTTTTTAATGTTTATTTATAATTATGGAAAAATATATTTTGTATATATGAGATATATACATATATTGTGTGAAAGAAATTTTCGGAACTTTTTTTTATTCTTTCTTTTGTCTTTCTTCTGTTCCTAAGTAACATAGTCAGACTGGTTTTAAATGTACATGTTTCTACGATATTTAAATTGAATTTTTCGAATTTATTGCTTTATTGTATTATTAGTTTTATTTTAATATTTAATTTAATTAATTCCGAGGCTAAATCTACGTTATCAGAATATATATTAAACTGTATACTGTATTCGTGAAGCAGCATCACTTTCTAACGCTTAAAACTCTTGGGACGTAACTCATTTAGTTGATATAGTTGGGACATATTCCTGAATGTGGCTCATAAATATTTAAAGTGTCTCGTTTAATGTTTCGTCACCGAGAGTTAATGACACACGCGTCAAACTTTCTTTAGATCGACGACAGTTTGCTCCTAGAACTCCATAACGCCGATAATTGTTTGCTTCTCTCAGTTGATATTGAGCAAACAAGAAATTCCCAATACTCTGACGAATTGCCATAGCCAAAGGCATTATCAAGCGTCTTATTATGGTCACGGCGATTGATTAATTTTAGGACTCTTAAGAAACGTAAAAAAGAATTCGCGAAGTAATTCCTCGGTCATTTCCATTTCTCTATTATCAAATCAGGTATGATATAACCTTTACTGATCCGAGAAACTTATTCGTACACGTCGTTTAATAAAATGTACCACAAGGTTGCGTGTAATTGTTTTTAAAAAATATTTTCGTATTTATTTTTGGTTTTTTGCTTTTATTTTTTGTTTGTACATATTTTTTCGTTTGTATAGTATTATTACTTTCAAAAGTTTCCTTGAGCATTGTGAAATTAGAAATATTTCTAGTTAAAAAAATAGTCTCAGTTGAGTGGACTTAAAAGAAATTAAAGTATTACATACACTCGCTATTCTTTACATAATATATCAACCATTTTCATCCCATAAAATTGTCTAACATAAATTGCAGACGCTACAAAATGGTTTCTGAACAATGACACGATGTCGGCCACGTGGTAAACCGCTTCACAATATCGTATACTCGAGACACTTAGCAGCAAAATCCTAAATTAGTTCCAGTTCGCACGAGAAATTCAAATACCATAAATTGAATATCTTCTCGTATACAGAAAACTCATATTTAAAAAGTATCACTAAAATATGATTTGACGATTTTTCACTTAAGCCAGCGGCACACGATACTTTTTTGCTTGCTGGTTTGCTTGCGTGCACCTTTGCTGGCTAATGAGAGCCAATATGCCATATATAATTGTTTTCTTTATGTAGTGTCGTATCTATTATTACAACTATTGTTTCGCATAATTTTAACTTCGGGAAAAATCAACGATTAGCCTCGTTTATGTTTTTCGAAGGGCTTCTTTAGAAGAACGAAAACGAAAGCAATTACTTCACCTTGTTTGTTTCGTATACTTCGTTAGTTTTAAACTTTGATGTCGCTTGTAGATAACAGGAATTTCTTGCAAGTTTAACTTACATTCCCTTTAATCTTAATCTATGCTTCTGAAATTCCCTTCTTTCTTTCTACCTTCTCGCAGCTGGCTTTATCATTTTTGCGCAATTTGCTTCCGGATTTCAAGACGATCATCCGCGGCCCTAATCGACGAACCATATGCTCCTCGTATTATTTGCTTTTCTTCCCTTTCTCACATTTTTTTACATTATCAACCTGCACATACATCTCACAGGATTTTCGACGTTGTCATTATTTTCAAACTTTCTTTCGTAAGTACTGGGGAACTTTTTTCGGAGAACTTTTTTTCTGATTCCAGCTTAAATTTTATTCAGGATTTAGGAAGAGAATTTAAAGTCTTAAAGTCTCCTAAATTCCTTTTGCTGCTATCTGTTCATCGTCGCAATTACTTTCGTTTTATCACTTTTCCGCAATTCCTTCCCGGAACAGGTTCATGCGAGATTTAAAGCTCAATCATCACATCCGTGCCTAATCGACAGCTGATGACGAAAGAGAATTTATTAATAATAAAAGTTTCATTCAGTTATTACTATTAATGTTTCGTTATTACTCTTTATTAGGAAATCTGGCATCTAACGCTTGCAGTTCTTGACAAAAAGATCACTTTTATGCTTAAAGTTAGTAAACTTCTCAGTAAGCAAAATGTTAGCCAAGTATGCCAACAGTTTGCAACTTTCAACATAAAATTGCGACAGATTTTCATCAAGTGTGTATTAAACTTGAGTTCTGCCAGCAGAGTTTGGCGACAATAGATTGTCAGCTGAAATCTATCATTTCGTAATCATTTCAATAAAATGCATTGTTTAACTGGTTACGAAGTGGTTGATTGCACTTAACTTCCATAGTCAATCTGTCATTATGTTACATGATGTTCCGCAACTTGTGCTGATCTTCTGCCGATAAAATTGATAGCAAACGCTTGGCAAAAGCTGTTTCCATTAGATTTTACTGTCTGATCGCATATCGTTTGCATTGCAAAACCAATGAATTCTTGAAAAATATCTTATAATGTAATCTTAACAAATAAACTTAATGAAATGTTTCACTGTGAGGAAAGCGACAACTATTAATCGATTCACGACCAGTTTCAAACAAAATCTAAAGGAAAATTTTTCACATCATTTATTCATTTAAATTTATTTTATGCGTTATTTTATCTTAAACACAATTAAAATTTTATATAAATTGGTAGCGTTTACTAAATTGCGATCAAACACTGCTATGTACAATGGATTTAATTTTATTCTATTTACTGTTTGTAATAATTTAATTTTGCTATATTATTTTTAAATGATTTAACTTTGGCAGTTTTACATTTACAGAAAATAAGATATCTAATTTAAGGAAAATATAAGTCTACACCATATAAATTAATTGTAAGTCATACTCAGTTTACATGTGTGTAAAACTATTAAGCAACATTAAATCATAATCGCCTGTTAAAAAACTAACTTATAACAGACAATGAGTGCATCAAGTGATAATAAAAGGAACGTTTAAAGACTATTGCCGGTGCAGTAAAAAAATATTCTTATCGCACACAGTTAGTTTTTTAACAGGTGATTATGATTTAATGTTGCTTAATGTTTTACACACATGTAAACTGAGTATGACCTACAATTAATTTATATGGTGTAGACTTATAATTAACAGCAATGGAAATAATAGACTGGACATTAATCTGTCTACAATATGAAAGAAACGCAAACCCAATTTATGAAAATTCTATTATTACAAACAGAATTGTAGTCGAAATAACGCACGTAAAATTGGTTTGTTAATTACCGAATGTAAACGAACATTGCACTCTCGCATAATGAGCTCCGAATACAATCCGGTATATTTTTTGCGTGTGCCTTCATATTATGCAAACGAAAGAGAAATGCAAACAAACGTCTATAGGTGATTCGTTAAGCGACTTAATTAAATAATTAATTAACTGCGCTGAAAGTGTATTTAACTGATGCACGCCATGTCACAAACCAGTTGTACTGTCCGATTGAACTTCTCACCCTGATAGATGCCTATCAATGAATGCTGTAACGACAATTAAAGCGGTAATTGTCACCACATTTCTGCGTGATCACACGCAATTTGATCTGTCGTCCGCATGATATAGTCGGCGTAATCGTTATAATAATTACAAGAATTTTCACCGCTTGGTAATGATAATGACAATAATGGAAATTATTTGCCATTAACGTATTATTAGCAATCAGAAATTATATGCAAAGCCTTGTAAATCAATCTCGCTCAATGATAGCCAGGCTATCTCGCCTAATAATGGCCAGGCTAATTGAAACGCGAGATTATTAATAACTGTCAATTCATTTCCTGTGCGGTACGCGGAGTGTGCAGTACACGCTTCACTGCGAAGTTACGCGCTTACGCAAAGTTTCTCATAAAATATCTTCTTTTACTTGTATTCTTGCACCGCCGTCGGTCCACTTTCTCCTATTATTGTTATTTATGGATATTACTTAGATGGACGAGTACTAATAATTTCAAGTACTTCCAAATTGCGATGAAACCGTCAGTTTTACCCGTGGCATGGACCATTTATTACGCAGTGTAATGCAGAGTAAACTGACGCTAATAAAGAAGGGGGGGAGGGAAGGCATTTGTTGCGCCCGGCAACGAATTTATTTTTCCATGCAGATTCCGTAAATAATTCTGATCCGTCTGTTTGCCTGTTAGTTCAAACAAACATCAATTGGGATCTCATCGATCTAACGGTATTTTTTCAACAGTTGCATGAAAAAAATGGGTTCTCCCTGAATATACCATCGGACTTCCGTCGTTGTGCGTCGCGTCGGGACGTACTTTACGTTACCCGTTTTTCGATCGTTTAGACAACGATAGTTATAGATACTGACAAACCGTCACTTCTCATCCAAGAAAATCCGCTGGTCCAAAAGCACAAGCTCGCTCGTGTGTACTATATATACGTATACAATCAGACATAAATCCTATGTGTGTGACATAGTTGCTTTGCTAAAATCCCTTCCGTTATTAAAATCCGATTCACTTGCGATTTATATCAATACGGTAGCGGATTGCTCATGCTCTAATTTTAAAGTTTGTTTAATTTTACGCGATTAATTCAGCAATTCGATGGGTAGGATGTATTTAATCCCTGGATGTATGTTCAACGTGCTCCTTCGATAAATCAATGGAATGCACAGGATTATTACAAAACTACTGCATTAATGATGACTATAAAATTGTTATCAATCAGTTATTAATGACAATGATTACTAGCAATTGATATTGACAGATCGCTGTGGCCACGAAGCTCCGTTATTCACCGTTAATTTAAGGCTGGCGGTTAATTATTAATTGTCGGTTTTCGTTTGCCTCTCAATTGGCAATACCACGTGTTAGAAAACACTTGAACAATTTCCAGGAACCCTGCTGTTGGAGTTGCGTCGCCTGCCGGGAGGACGCATACGCATACAACGACACGTGCAAGAACTGCAATCCCGGGTATGCACCGAATTCCGCAATGACAGGCTGCGTTAAGCTTACCGCCGAGGTCATACCTTGGACGAGTCCTTGGGCGCTGGTGCCGCTGATATTCGCATCCATCGGTATTCTCAGCACCCTCTTCACCACCATCGTCTTCATGCGGTGAGACACGTTTTGCTTTTTCGCTTCCTATACGTAATGTCCTTCCGTCGCATGATTCTTCAGCAAATTGTACTTCCCAGGTGTGTCCAAGTGGATCTCGCTTAAATAAAATTTTAATTTGAGGTTTCATTATGGTACATGTAATGTCAAGGGCTACAATAATTGCCTGATATTACTGTTAAAGAGAAATCGTTGATAAATTGGTTTTCAAAGAGCTTAATCGTTAACACTTTGCGGTTCACCGACAGGCATAGAGCTGTCGTTCGAATTTTCATGTTGCAGTCCGCTGACGATACAGAAATGTGCGAATTTCAACATTACGATCCACCAACGCCACACAGCCGTTGCGGTGTAAGAATATTAATCTTATGGGCATATACGTTTACATCTATTATTGCATGCAAGTGTTGCAAATAAAAATTGAAGCTCGTGCGTGACAACGCTAAAACAACGGTAAACATGATTACATGACACTACGTAATTAAACGGTCTTCGACGTAATGGGATTATGTCTAGAACATGGTTTCAAAACGCATTATAAAGTTTCTAATCTGTTTTTATTTTATAGAAATCTTAAATCTTAAATCTTAATATTTATTGTTTCGAAGATTCAATTAGTGTTTGATTTGTTTTTTATTAGAAATACATTATTTTTTTCAGTCTTTACGCTACTCGAGTAGGGTGTAAAGTATACTCCAGTCTTAGAAACCCCCTAACTTCAAAGAGTAAAACTTTTTCATTGATTCAATGCTGCACAAACTTTCACAGTTAAAGAATTTTTGAAGTTATTGTTAGCTTTAAAAGTGTATAGAATATTACCAGTCTTTATTCAATTGTAAATCAAAGGGAATAAAAGTTGAGATATGATATTGGGACGTAAAATATATCACGCGCGAGTAATTAAAAAAATAGTTGCATAAAAACAACGCGAGTGATGTACGGTTATCTGTTTGAGAGAGTGAAAGCGAATGCTAAAATTAAAACTTATTGTGTTTATTGATAATAAGGTGAACTTTACATTAAAAAAGAAACAAAATACTTTCTCATTAATAGGTGCCTTTTGACATTTGTTTACGATAAAAAATGTACGGTTCAGTTTGTATCGTAATTGTAGTTTGTTCCTTCAGTCCGATGTTGCTGCATTTTAATACAGACTGCGGACCGCAAAGTGTTAACAATAATATGACTAGGCCATTAAAATTTTTATTACATTAAATAAAAATATAATTGGTGCAAAAAGCCTCTGGATTTACTGCCATGCACGAGTGACGAATGAATTGACGCACATTCAACGTCTTCTTTTTCAATGAAAATATAACAAGGTTGAGCGGGTAATATTAGCATCGAAAAAGAGTGCTTAAAAAGATTTAAAGTCGATGCTTTCGAAGCGAAAATTTAATCGAAAGCTTAATTAGCGACCTATTAAACTTACTTAATTAAAAGGCTAAAAGGTTTTCTGCATTTCATTATACATAGATGTACAAAAAGGAATAGAACTTTTGAACTCCAAACTGGTTTTTTTTTAATTTTCATTGGGCTTAAATGATCAACATATAATTATTAAATCCGCGTAGTTTTGTTATGTAAAGTATGACTAACAATTTTAATTACTCGTCATACGTATCGAGAAAGCATGCTGATTGATTTTGAGCCTAACGTCTCCCCCAAAATTATTAATCAATGCAATTAAAACAAATATTGTTTTTGCCGCAAGATGTTAAAAAATATTAATATATAAAGAACTAAAGAAATAGCGACAGGAAAAGCAAACGGAAAATAGAATCGCATGAAATCGCATATTTGCAGAATATTGTTTATTGCGATTTAATATTTAACATTGCTCGATCTATACAGGGCGTGAAATTAACAAGTGGTATTTCTGTCAAATATCGAAAAAGTTCATCAAAGCATTTCGCTTGGTCTCGTCGATCTTGCTACGAATGTCTTGTGTTTGAACTGCAGATTCAATCGTACTCCGGTGATTATGGCATCGGGACGCGAGCTATGTTACGTTTTGTTGGTGGGAATTCTCTCCTGCTACGGCATGAGCTTCATCATACTGAGCAAGCCGACCACGTGGAATTGCACATATCTCAGGATCGGCCTCGGTCTCTGTCTCAGTATATGCTATAGCGCGATCCTCACGAAAACCAATCGTATATCGCGGATATTCAACCAGGGCACGAAGAAGATCAAGAGGCTCTCCTACACATCGCCCAAGAGCCAAGTGGTAATCGCTATCGGTGAGTACGAACTGCACTCACCTCGGTAAACACGTCGACAAGCTATGGCATCGAGAGGATAATTGCACGCCGATGCTTGACGCAACGTGAAATAAAAGCCGCGTTCGACCGAAGAAAGGAAATGATGGCGCGATCTTTACGATAAGGTTTCGCATCGGTATTTCTTTTTAGGATAGAGACGATAAATTTCAAACTTTATTCACGCGATCCTCACTTGTTGCGGTTTCGATCAAAACTAAACATCGTACTCCGTAAAGCTACTTTTTAAAAGCAAGAATTAGTATCTCGAGAGCAGTGTTGGACACAATTGAATCATACTAACAATTAACTACTGTCTATTAAACTACTACTATTAAACTACTAACTACTGTCAATTAAAATTTTAATTGTTAATTGCAACTGACAATTAAATTATTGTTATTTATCTGTACAATTAAAGCTATTTAATTATTTATTAATTTTAATTGTGAGTGCGATTAACAATTTTATTGACATTGAGTTTTATTACGATAATGATTTAATGTGTTACTTATTTTAAAGATCAGACTTTTTAAAGACTATTAGTTGCAGTTACATTTAATCACAATTGAAATGCCACGGTTAAATAATCAATCAATTGAAGATTTAATTGATTGATGCCCACCACTGCTCAAGAGATACTTGAAAAAGGATCCGAGTGTTAGTCATTGTCTTTTCTATCCTTTCCACTGTTCTGAAAAATCGTACAAGTTGTCTACATACTATTACCTCTTATTATAACTTTTTATCAAGAAGTTATAATATTCCAATCAATTAAAAATTCCTTTTGTTGACTATAAAGTCTCGTAAATTAGACACAATCAAAAATAGTTCTATTTCGTTAATCAAGCTTTACGTACGATTCTGTTTCTGTAAAGGGGAAATAATTCAGAGAGATGTACGGTTGCGGATTTTCTCTCCTCACGTTCTCATTCATCATTCGATTAACAATGTAAACAGTAGCTGCTAAAGTACGCAGAGTCTGATCCTGGATTACGTGACTCCCATTTGCGCAGGGATCACCGCAGTGCAACTGATCGGCACCATCGTGTGGCTGATGATCGAGCCGCCGGACACCACGGAGATCCATCCGTATCCACTCTCCGCGGTGCTCACATGCCGCGTGTCCACGTTCTCGCTGATGATGTCCCTCGTCTACAACATGTTCCTGATCCTGATGTGCACCCTGTACGCGTTCAAGACCCGCAAGATCCCGGAGGACTTCAATGAGGCCAAGTACATCGGCTTCACCATGTACTCGACGTGCATCGTCTGGCTGGCCTTTGTGCCCATCTACTTCGGCACCAATAACGACTACAAGGTCTGTGCCGCGCGGACCGCGCGAGTCCACGGGCGCGAATCACCCGCGCGTCTTTCGGTCCCCACATACACACACGCACACACACACACACATACACACGAGCCTCACGGCGCGTTTTTCTGTGTTAACATGTAAAGTCGAGCGGACGGCTGCCTACGTTGCAGGTTCAGATCGCGAGTATGTGCATGTGCATCAACATCTCCGCCTCGGTTGCCCTCGGCTGCCTCTTTACGCCCAAGGTCTACCTGGTGCTGTTCCAGCCCTACAAAAACGTCCGCCCCGGCCACCCGAACGTATGTACATTGCTGGTTTTGCTACTTATCCCATCTAACAATTAATCCCGTGAAACGGGACAGACGGAGTGTCCTGGAATTCCCAGAAATTGGACAGTTGGTCACCAAATCTCACTGGTGGCGATCCCTTTTTTTTTTTCGCCGATTCCGTTCCGATTCCTTTCGGAATAACGCGTATATTAAATTCGATGGGGATTTCAAGGCTTAACATTTTCCTTGCCGCTCAAGAACTCAATTTAGACTTTACCGTGTACCTATATTCGTTCAAATTATCGCTTTCTCCTCCCCTGACAAGTAACAGACTTCCACCTATTAATCTTTTCCCTGCACGACAAGCATGTCGGATAAACTTTAATCTAATGCTACGGTAAATTACACATTGAGGTTCGCTATTATAAACGATTTATTGATTAGAAAGCACAATGGTGCAAATTGTGGATTCAATTCTCTAGGATAAATATATTTAAATCCCTTCTTTTGTTAGCGTTACGGTCGGCTAATTCCGGATATTCATTATTAAATCAAAACAAATTCCGTCATCGGAGCCATTTGTTCTGATCCCTCGTACCCCATCGTAAGAATTTAACGCCGGGGAACACTATCGTTCGATAAACATGTATTACATAATTGCAACTCATTATTATCGCGCGCGTATTTGTGTATCGTAGAACTTCTTAGTAAGCAAAATTAATACACGATGGAAAACCCGTTTTATTTTGCGGATAATAATTTCGATCACACAAAATGCTTAGTAACTTGTACGGAAATAACAAAATTTCTTTCCCTATTTATTTAAATTATTAAAACTCGATGTTTAGAGTCGCCGAAATCTCGGCTTTTTCTGGGTAATCGTTGAAAAATAATCGCAATATTCTCTGTCGAAGCACAATTACGAAAGGATTAGGTCTCACCCTGAATCTATGTCTCCAGGAGGGAAAGCACGCGCGAGTCCGACACAGACCGGTGAACGTGTTTAAGCGTTGCAGAATTAATTGTGAACGTTATGCCGAATTCGACTGTATGCACCGGTGCGCACGAAGGCGCATAAAGGCCGGACTGAAATTGATGTAAAGGCATATGCTAACACTAACGCCAACAATTCGATCAATTTGATGTTCAGCGTAAGTTGCCGCACTGTTTGCGGAGTTTATGCCCGGCAACGAATTTCCATTCCATTGGCCGAGATGCTTACGCGCGCCTGGTAAATCCGCAATGGCTTTTCGAGTGCATCGGTGCACATTGTAGAAATACAGCCCGGGGGAAGGGTTTGTTAAGTCTATTAGAATTAAAACCTTCTCCGCCGCAGTTGTTTTCCAATATCCTGTCGCCTAACAGTGTCTAAAATGCATTCCTACTTCATTCGGTGAGATACAGTAGGCGAGCGAGAGCGGTTCCAGTCAGTAAAACGTTAGCAGATTGGCAGCAGACTCATCAGAAACCCACACCAAAACCACAGCCATCTGTGTCCGCATTCGGCTTTTGTTTTGGGAACAGAATCTATAAAATACACGCTGTCAACAGATTGTCGGTAGAAACCGAACGGGTCCAGTTATGTGAGCAGATTTTGCTGTATTTCTGCCGACATGCTGGCAACATATCGAATATGTCAGTTCCTGTGTGCAATCTGCAGTCTTTCTGCCTTCAAAATTTGTAGTGGGCATGTGACGAAATCTGTTCTGACAGATTTGGCTTTCCGGGGTATCGAGCGTGGGCCTGGACAGCTCAATAGAAAAAGCAGTCGCCCGGCAAGAGCTCCCGGGTTCAAATTATGGTCTAGGCTCCTCATTCAGTTCTTTTCTCGCCCACGAGTCATTACGCGGCGCGTAATCTTAGTGCTTACCTCTCTGAAGCTACGTCCCTAATAGTTACTTCGGAGTAAAGTAGACTTCGCTATTAGGTTTAAAACCCTCTCAGCCGTGATAATTCTCCAATCTCCCGTTACCTGACGATATCTAAAATCCATTCCTACTTTATTCGAAAATACAGTTGGCAACTCTGTGTGAAATAATAGATAGAATATGATCAGATTGCATTAGATGAATAAGACACTTATTCATTTACATTGAAATTGCATCTAATTTAATGTAATCTCATCATATTCTAATATTTTAAGCAGGGAAGCGAGAAGTGGTATCGAGTGTCGACCTGGGCAACTCAGAAAGAGCAGTCGCCCGACAGGCGAAAAGTTCCCAGGTTCGAATCCTGGTCTAGTCTCCTCGCCCGATACTTTTCTCGTTCAAAAGTCATTATTGTTAGTAGCGTACACGGAGAGAATTGTCTCTTAAAATGAAGAAATATCTCATTTTATAGAACCTTTTATATCCTATATCTCTGAAATGAGGTTCTTGAGGCCGGATGAGGACATATACCTTTAGTTCTCACGGGGAGAATTTTCTTTCAAAACTTACCCTCTGAAGAACTTTATGAGAGTTTTTTTTTTGACATTTTACCATACATTTTATTAGTAACTCGCTATTAGGTTTCGAAACCTTGTCCCACGATTGTTTCCCAATTGCCTGACGATATCTAAGATCTGTTCGGACCATTCGCAGACGGGCGGCCTGCAGAGCGGCAATCGCGCAGCGTACAGCATGCGCTTCGCCGGCGGTCGCAGCCAGACGATGCAGAGCGTGACCTCGGGGTCACGCAGCAGCCCCCCGATGGCCCGCGGGGGCGCGGCACGTGCGGACGAGCGGAAGCACGCGAACGGTGAGACCCAGGCGCTGGCGAGTCCGTCGGTCGAGGAGACTTCTGTTAGCTAGGTCGCTCTCATACACCTCCCTCCCTGTCCAGAGCATCGGGCGAGGATGCGCGAGACCGAGGCGGAGGTGTATGTTAACGGCGGCAACGACGGGGGCGGCGGCGGCGGCAACGGCGGTGGCGGTGGTGGCAACGACAGCGGTGACGACGACGACGAAGAGGAGCGCAAGTTGTCGACCGTTCAAGAGCTGCCGGAGCTCACCGCCAGCCCGCCGATGATGAGTCTGGCGATGTGCCAAGCGCGCAAGAGAAGTCGAGGCGAGCCGCGCCGCGATTCGGAACAGGTGATTTTCCCGATTTTCCTCGCCTCCGACAAAGGATTATCCCCACGGGAGTGTTACACAGGTTGAGCGACTTTTCAAAAGAGCGTGATAATGAAATTTAATTGAGCACAGCTGATTCCATTAGCTTACAAAAGCTTGGCTCGCAAGGAGTTCTTTCTTTTCCGTGTGGATCGCCAAGATTCGATACCTCGATTTTTATCCTGGCTTTACTCGAGAAATCCGTGAATTGGCTGAAATTTACGATCGCGCGCATTTGACTATTGTTCGTTTATAGTTGCATTGCGGGACTTCTCTCCTTTTGATTGCTATCAAAAATTTTCTTTACTGCTTTAAAACTTTCTGAAGTTTTATTATACGGCTAAACTCTTGCTTTGTCAGCACTTTTTCATTATTTTCGTCACGGTTTATAACGTTCGTTACGGCTTTGCATCACCACGAGACGCGACCCCTAATCCATACTCGTCTGTTATCTTTTTAAGCCGAGCGATCGCAACATCTCCACCATCAGCAGCGTCTCCGAGAGAGTAGAAGCGCGCGCGAGGAAAGAGGGATCCCGCCCGAACGAGGAGCAGATTCTAAGCTACAGCAACTCGCCGACCTTCTCCGAGTTTTCCTCGTAGTATTCGAACGGTCTTCTCGAATTGCGACAGATTCTCCCTTCAGCATCCTTCACGGAGTTCCCGACCAGCACGAAGGGCCTCGTCTACCTTGCCGTACTCGACAGCATTATACAAGCGTTTTGTAAGCGCCAGACGTTTTATATTCCCATGAGATGTGAGTAATCCGACACTTGTTCAACTCTTTGTACTTCGGTGGCCACATACAGAATTATTCAGGATGTTTCTTAATATTCCAACATTTTACGGGGTTGACTTTTGAAACATTTTACGAAGGAAGATTCTCATGAACATATATGATTCTATGATCAAAAGCGTCATGTCAGAGGTACAGGCTGTTAAAGTTTCTGTAAAATTATTGTTTCTTTTTTTAATATTAATAGCTTTTAAACGGAAAAAGATTTTTTTTTCTAAATAAATTGACACATTATCTTTATTATTTATTAGACACGAAGATTCAGCCTGATCATACTTGATTATTTATCATACATACACAGTTGTGATTCACTTAGTACTTCAGTATTTTACTTAGAGTGACCATTTTGTAGAAAATCAACGACGACTATAGAAATGGGATTTATTACATTACTGTCCCAAATTTGTATGATCAAGGAATCAAATATTTTCGCAGGTTTTTATTATTTCATAAAAATACACTTTTACTAAAAAATGTTAAAAGTGATAATTAAGAAATATCTAATTTTATAGAACTTTTTATATCTCTGAAATGAAGTTTTTGAAAGGCCAGATGAGGACATATATTCATATAAATTTTTCTTTAATTCATCAAATCAACTCGTAAAATATTGAACAATATTGAAGAAACATATGACTAAATCTGATCGATATTCTTATTGAATTAAATAATACGAATATAAGTTTGAACTACATATAAAGGTTAAATCTAAATTGAAATCGAAAAAGAACTTCCATCAACCGAATAATTTCTATTTCTGAATTGTCGTGTCTCCTTCCAAGGCAGATTCTTTGACAGTAGGAAATTATGGGGAAATCAGAAATTTATGGGAATGAAGAAAATATGGGAGATTATCAGAATAATTTGGTGCAAAGGGTGACATTAAAAACCGTAAACGTATACTCAACTGGCCGCAGCCTGGTCGTCTGGAAAAAATGGTCCTTTTGCACAGACTACGATTGTGTATAGTTATTCATATCGGAAACTTTCGTGCTTTCTTTGTCCTCGACGCACGAATGCCACGCCGGCATTCAGCAAGTTTCCAGCATCGCGCGGGTGAGTTTTTGGGGTCCATTCATCTCTCGCGGACAAAGACCTTTTTCCTACATGTGTACCAATAATACGGTGGAGTTTATATGAGTTTCGGATTGACCGAAATTCAACAAGTCCAAGTATTTCGACGTGAAAACAACGGACGAGATGCAACGTAATCATATTATTTCATGTTAAGAGAATATTTTCCACAAGAGGATTTGTATAAATGAAATATTCGATATTTCTCATAATTAATTTGTGCCAGATAAATAACAAAATTTCTTGTTCATTATTTGCAACGCAAATAAACGCGATAAAACCACCTCGATGCTGTTATATACGGTACAATAATGAGAAATTCCTAGATATGATGATAGATTGCTCGAAAGAGGTTCTTAAGATCCACCCCCGTGATTTTGGAATACTGTGTACATACGTTAATTAATTATGAACGGACATGAAGTGTACTAGGATATGCGGAAGTATTAAAATTCGATAATCACATTAGCCGAGGTAATTATCGCAT